TATAAGTCATTAACTGAGCTAAATTCTGAAACGATGTTGAACACTCTTTGATGATTACCCATAGACACAGCCCACTGAGTTTCTCGCCGGATCTTCTCAGTGGGTCGCGTTTTCTGCGAAGCACAGCTCTTGCTAGGGCCAGTGTTAGCAACACTCCGATTTGAGCCCCGTCAGCTCACCTACACGTTAGGGTGAAGCTGAAATAGCCTCTCAAGGCTATCAGCATAGGTAGGAAAAAAAATATTGATTTCAGTTCTATAGCGAAGTATACTATTTAATTGTTACATCAAAAATTACATAAAACCCGTACAACATTTTCTAGTTTAATTTATGGCATTGTAAGTCCGTACAAACAGGTACGAACATTCAGTCTAAAGCTGCCGCGAAGCTATCACGCGTTCCAGTTTGAAGGGTGGGTCAACCGTTATAAGAAGTTTGTTTGATGATGTCTATCGACTCCAGTAAGCACTTTCGTGCAAAGTTTGTTATGGTCTCGTGATCCTTTAGAGCAATAAAAAAGATGAGAAGAGTAGTCTGAAATTAGGCTGAAACATTTATCTAAGAAGCTTTTGGTCGCGTAAATGTTTAAAAAAATAAAGTACAACCACACACACACACACACACATCCTATACAAATCTCAGAAATAATACTTTTTTCTGTATTCCTGAAATCGTTTGCGCAAAATTTTATAATTATTATTATGACCGGCTTTGGCTAGTTAAGACGTGAAAGCGTGACGAAGTAATTCGCAATTATAATATTTATATAGACTAGGCACTTTATAATACTCTAAAATCAAGTTACTACAAAATTTTATTTACAACAATATCGTTGTAATCTAAAGGATAAATGAGGACGCCCAATGTACGCATATCGATTAATGCGACTGGTGTTCAAATTCTGCAGACAGCTATAAAATGTTCTATTGAAATACGTACTTAGCACGTGCACATTCCTTCCATGATGAAGAAATAATATGGTTTCGTAAAAAAAAACCGAAAAATGATATTTTGCCTAATCAGTGGTGCTCCCCGCACGTAGTAAGCCCGCACGGATTGGGGGTGCGTTTTAGCTTGAAGGGTGGCACCGCCATACTGTGTCAAGCTGGACATTTTCCACACAAAGCATGGCATTTAAGTGCCAAAGTGTTGGCCCAAGGTGTCTACCGTGAGCACGTTCACCCATCTATGCAATAACAAAGCTAATCTATACTAATATTATAAAGAGAAAAGATTTGTTTGTTTGTTTGTATTGAATAGGCTCCGAAAATACTGAACCGATTTGAAAAATTATCTCACTGTTTGGAAGCTACGCTATTTCCGAGTGACATAAGCTATAATCTTTTTTGAAAAAAAAATTAGGGTTCCTTACTAAAACTCCAATAATGTAACCCAAGGTGTAAAAAAATTACCTAAAATATTCTTTACATCGCGTGCCCTGCGAAAACTATTGATGATAGAATAAAATAATGTACTATGACTTTGTAGAACCCATTATTATTTACAAAAAGTGTCGCGACAGCATATGTCTAACTATTATACTTAGTTATGCCGCAATAAGTGTTATTTTATTAAAAATTAAAACAATGTCAAATATCGTTGAAATTTTTGTTAAAGATCCGAGCGGAGCCGGAGCGGGCCGTTAGTTTAATATTATATTTCAAACAAAGTCATAATAATATTAGTTGTAGAAATTAATGTTAGAGGAAAACAAAAATCTACTCTGTAAATAGTTGTGGGCCGATACTCCCTACACAATAGCTGGCACAATTGACACCGTTTACTCATAATACGACAGATTCTGATGTTATTATTACTCGTACTAGAGACAAAGATTTGCCATTTAATTTAGACTTAGTTTAAAATATTTTTTCCAAGAAAATGCAATGTGTCATTCGCGATTCATCTCGAAAAAACATTTTTTTCCCAATGATGCGGACATCGGATGCGACGAAATCTCAATTGACTAAGTACTTGCCCAAGACTTATTCGAGGAGACTCCAATCAAACCTACAACACCTACATAAGTAAGTCATGTGATCGCCAATTTAAAAAATAAATCAGGCATCTGGCTACCATTTAATTACGCTGCGAGTCTTAAAGGACTTGTTGCCAGTAATATCTAAGTCTGCGAAAAGTACTCGCACGGCTGAAATCAGCGTTTCACTCTCTCCCTTAAGGAGGGTAGGAAAATTTACCCACAATAACATTAGGCACAGAACCTCTCACATGAGGATGTGGACACAGTTAAATACCTTAGACTGCATCTGGATCAGTGACTTACATGTAAAAACCACATAAAATTGAGATGAAATAAATGCCAGCTTTGGAAGCTTACTACACTGGTCACTGGGAAGGAAGTCAAACCTGTCAATAGAAAATAAATGACTTGTGTAGAGTGGCTATTAAGCCAATTTGGACCTTTGGTATTCAACTATGGTGGAGCTCCAGCCATTCCAACATTGAAATCATTTAACGCTCATAAAACGTCATATTACAAACCAGAACCAGAGGGTTCATAACCAATGCTAAGGTTTACCAGTTAGCTATTTGGTAGAAATTTCTGCTAAGACTTGCACTAGATACAAATCTCGCTTGTCATAACATCCAAATCAGCTAACCTCAAAATTACTTAGCCCACTTCATCAATGCATAAAAAGAGCAAATATTTTAAGTGTATGAAAGATCCTGCTAAACAAAGAGATTGTTATTGGATAAAGGCCTCTGCAAGCCAGTCTTTTCCCCTCATCTGGTTATAGTATAAGCACTAATCGAAGATAGTAGTATAAAGCTCATACAAAAAATTAAACTTTTAATATTATTTTTATTTTATAAAATAATATCTAAATTTTGTCTTAGCATTTTATTAATACAATACAAATCCCCACTACGAATAACACCTTAGGCACAGATCTGATAGCCCATCAAATATATGCTGTTTTCAACTTCTCTTTAGAGTGTTTAAATTAATTAAATTAGTACTGTTGATTTACACAGGCTAAAAATGTACTAGAAAAATATTAAGGCAAAGGAAGAGATAGATGAAATATAGCACTTAATGAATTTATTCATTAACCACATGTTGTATTTATCTTGATGCTCAGAAGGGAAGATGCCAGTGCAGACTAGCAAAGCAATATTTTTAATAATACCATTTCGATGTATCAGTGATCCTCTTCACTGTACACAATCGGTATGTTCATCATTACAGCCAAATTTGAGATAAACCTAATAGAAATTTTAATGGATCCTACTTACACTTTTACAGATCATGTGACAATATGTTATTAATTAGTTGGCTTGATAACCTTTTTATACAAAACATTGCTAGAGCATTGTTTATTAACAAATTTTAAATACCAAAAAGATTTTACGTTATTCTTATACAAGCTATACAGTAACCTAATGTGACTTTTTAAAATAATATAGTACTCCATCATGTATATTTCTCGAGGTAAAACTATGGTTATCTTAACCTTTCATTTAGTTTACATCCCATGCAATCTTGAGTGTCTACCACATTTTATGTGTATTGGAAATGTAAGAATAGTCAAGGGGCAGATGAGATTATTTTAAAGCAGGATTATAGATGGCAGTATTATTTTTGCAACACACCTACCATGGCTTACAGTCCAACTTACTTAACTCTAGTGGCAAGTGATATGATAGTAAAAGGTGCGACGAGATTGGCTCAAGCTATTTCTTAGAACACTGAACATGGTATATATACATTACCAAAGATAGAACCCAAGACCTTCTCACAGCCAGAAGTTCCAAACAATCTGTAAGATTAGGGCTATCAACAATCAACCATGGCAAAAAAGTATTCTTAATTACTACAAAAATGTTATCTTTAGAATAAAATTTAGGATTCCAGAACTGAATAATTTTAAAATAAAAAATTTCAGGTTTATCTCAGATCTTTGAATGTTAACACTAAGTAATTAAATCCATGACTAACTTGTGTCTGAGTTGTTCTTAAAGTTTTTTCAGTAGTAAAAGATTTCAGATATTTTTTGTAGAACAAGATAAAAACAAGGTACTGGTTTTTATTGCAGCAGATAAGTAATGTTTTGACGGATATTTTAAAAATTTAATGATCATTCGGAATTAGTAAAAATGTACTAATACAGAAATAGTGAAGAATTATATCAAAGTAATTTATGGATTACACTCATCCCAGAATCATAAATATAAATAATATGAACAGGAAATATGTAAGGCCACATGATTATCCTGTTGGATGTGTAATTTGTCCATTTTATTAGAATCTTTAGTGTTAAATGAGATTTAATAGTTAACTCTAGGTGTTTATGTACTTGAAAAAGAATTCATGATACGCATGTACTACATTCTAATTATTTAAATCATAGAAATAAATTAGCTTATTCTAAAGCATTTAGCTTATTTGAAAGATGGTCATCATCAATGATTACTAGTTATGAGTGCATAGATGATCAGAATTATAATTTATCTGCTCAATATTTAGTGGTATCTTAATGTTATATTTAATTATAGAAAAGTTATATGTAGAAAGAAACTACAATTAATAACTTTGCTGTGTGTAAATTATTATAATTGGCAATCTGCACAGTTTGACAAACAGTTTTGTAGATTTTATTACTAGCAACATTGTGTTTTGTTTCTTAATTTAAATTTCCCAGTGTTGTGTCAAACTAAAAATATTAAAAAAAATTGTAATCATTTTGATGTTATTAAGGACCATTAATTAATCTGGATTTAGAACTTTGTTTAAATGCTGTTTTTCAAGTATTTTTTTAACACAACCTTCTAATTTCATAACACCATGCACTGTATTGTAAAACCAATGCAAGGAGATTGGAAATGAACAAAGAATTAATAGCCTAACTTTAGTGCGAAGTCTGGCTGCTAGATGCAAGTAAAACAGGCACTTCTTTAGTATTTATCAGTGTTATTACTTTGCCAACTATTGCCACACAGGTAAATGACCTGTGTAGGTGTGTGCGCATAAAGATCACCTGATCATTGACGCTGACTGCTGCTTGCATTTACTGCTCGTCACACTGTTCACCTCCAGTCCTCAATAACACAGTGCACTATACTTGAAATTAATTAAGGAGCTATTAATTTGAAATTACTGGATTTAATAGCTCAGGCGATACGATACGCACGCAGAGTGCACAAATAGCACACTCACTATTCATGCTCACTGTGACACTGATATAAACACTACACACTCAAAACAAACACCACAACGTTTTCAGGTGCTTCCGAACACGATATTGGAGTCCCGAGGTGTTTCACTAACTGGAGTAGGGCTTAGCTCGCGACCTAACCTAAAAATGCAGACCCATATGAACAATTGACAAGCACAGATGTTCCCAATCCGAGGCGGAGCACATGACATCACCCCCGAGACACGACCGTGCGTTGTTTCACAAAGGACACGAACGTAGTCCGTGCGAGGCTACTAGTATGGATTTGTGGGCAAAAATGCTTTGTTTGAATCGGAACGTATTCGCAGCCTTCGTCGCGTATATAGCTATACATAAGCGCGTACATTAGGTACGTGTGGCGCGCGGTGCACGGCTCGAATGCACTTAGCCATAACTCACTGGCGAGCGCCACGATCCGCGCGAGCCCGACCAGCGCCTCGCGCGCTCCCCTTTGTCTCTGAGGCGGCTTGACGAGTTTAGAGCCCCGCAAAAACTGTAAACACGAGCTTGATTTATGATCCCGGGCGACGGAGTCATTCACGCGGATGGACCGGGGAGGCGGTCACGCTCGAGCGCCGCGCTCGCCCGATCACTATCGGGGTGTCCTCGCCTCGCGCTCGCGGACGAGGCGACGTTTCGAAATGGCGCAGCGCGGAGGCCGCGGGAGCGGGAGAACGTCCGCTCGACGATTGAGGGACGAGCGCGGTGGACGTTTCGCAACCTCGATCGGGTTCGCGGGGACCGAAATAATCGACAGCGTGGGCCGCGGGCAGCGAGATACTCACGGCCTGGCGGCTCGCAGCGGGTCGGCGCCGGCGTCCATGGCGCGCCAGGCCCCGGCCGCTGGGCTGCGGGCCGTCGGCCGAGCGACGCGACACTCTCTCCGACCTCACTCGGGGCGCGCCGATAAGCTTTGTTGCACCATCTTGACGACGCTGCACTTCCACTGCGGCACTTCACTTCGCGTATAAACACTTCGCGACTAGTGTTTTGTTACATCGGTTGACTTTTCTTTGAAAAATCAATATACATTTTCCCAGAGTTTAGATATACGGACGAGTCGATGTCCAGCGCAGGTTAGGTGCGTGAAGTTTGCAAGCTTTTTTAGCGCACCGGTGTTACCAACATTTTTTTGCCCATTTTTTGTTTTCTGTGTTGTGATTTTTTCTAAAGATTTGGAGCTAACTTCATGTTAGTTCTACATTTTTGGGTCGTTCACAATACCCCAGTTGTTCGTAACAGTGGCGCCAATTTATATCAGTTTGGACCAAGTTTGTGTGAAATACTTAAATGATATGACTTATATGACTTAAATGAATATAAATATTATATGTTATGAAGATATGTACTTTATTAATGGTTTTTAATTTGCTTTAAATTAAATATTCTTTCTTTTCTTATTGCTTTTAATTGCTTTTATGTCACTAAGTGAGGAAAGTACATCATGACGGCAGGTCGATCTATCTAATCATCTTGCAATTTGATTTGATTTAAAAAGAAACGATCAATCGACTTACTAACTTAACCCAGTTCTAGTAGGACCGTAGATTTCGACTAATAATCGGTGGGAGAGTTAAGTTAGAAAATAATGTGAGGAAATAAATATTAAGACTAAAGGATGAGCAATAACTTGTTTTTTTTTGAAGGGATTGTTACTTTTTCGGAGGCACTTACTTCCCTTCATTAGAATGGGTCGGCGAGCACGGTCTCAGCCAGGAAGGATTAACTTGAACTGACTTGTGAAGCCCATTACGTAATGCTTAACTTCAATGATTAATCAATGGTTTACTGAGGTGAATGAATTCAAATGAATACTTTATTCAAAATGAATATTATATAAACTAATGGCATCTTATATGTACATCATGTTTTGAAAATGTGTGCTTTGATTTATTGATTTACATACAATTATATACACATTAAAATTATGATATAATTTTTATGAATTAGATGATAAATTATAATTACTACTTAAGCATGGTGCTGTACATCATTTCAGTAAATAAATTTACATTTACAAAATACTGAATTTTGTGATAAAATCATACTTCATTATCATTTACGTATATATTATAAAACAGGACTTGAGAAAACATTTTTAATGCTAAAATAACAATAAATTATAACATGTAAAAGTTTGTGTTTTAAAGTAAAACAGAAGCATGTCACGCGGATTCAACTGTGTGAGAAATCAAACATATTTTTATAGACATCTAATACCACCGTATCCATTGAAATTATTCAATTTTCATTTCCCTGCACTAAAAGGGACAAACAAATTTACTAGTAAAATCTTCGATGTTCACATATTAGCATAATCCTTGTTTGTTCAGGCAGCCGATGTCTTCGGTCGTGTGAGGAAGCCGAATTGCAAGAAGAAAATGCGATCCAGGGTTAAGTTGGAGGAGTTGAATCTCACTTTAAACATAAAAAGTGAAGAGATCACACCTCCACTTAATCTGTCACGCTTTTGTATCACGCCGTACTGCTCCAACTGAAGTTTTCCCCGCGACCGCCGAAGCGTTGTGACGCGACTCCACGCGTGAGCTGGAAAGATAGATCTGGCAGCGAACCATGAAACTGTCAAGATCCCCTGTCCAACTCAGACATGAAGCCATTCTGCAGCCGAGACGAATATCGAACGCTGTAAAATTAATAAAACGTTAATTTAAAGCAAGCGAGTTACTTATTGCTTTTTCACATTCGCTAATGGAGAAAATGCGCCCAACGCGGAGTCGGTTTCTGACTATGGCGCTATCACAGCTCAAATAGGTGCGGCTAACTGGCAATGATAAGAAAAGCGATTACATTATCCCTAAACGTCAATGGTCGTACATAGCTCTAAAACGAATGTACATTTTAGCAGTCAAATAATTGTCACGACGCGTATTAGAATGGCATGTCACATGCATCACACGATACGGGAAACACATGTGCCATTGGACCACCATATGTTATTACGTAATCGTTTTGTATTATTAATTGTGGCACTAATTAAATTGTACTCTCCGTGAACACTCGTGATGTTGACGCGCTAAGTGACTTCGTGGCAATTGGGTATTTAGATACGTACGGCTATCTCTAAAACTGAAATTGCTTCTGCCACGTAGAACGATCTCGAAACTATAAGTTTAAAGTACATAGTACTGCCGATTAGAAAATAGACTTTGAATCTAACGCCACTAATGAATAAAGGGGTCCGATAAAGTTACCCTGATGACGTTGGCTGGCCAGTGATGAAGTTCCAATTTGTCACTAATTGTACGCTTTCCTTAGTCCCACAGTCAATCGTAATCACTGTTCACACTTCGATAGAGACCCGATCGATCGATGGGCTCATATTTATACTTTCGTCGATATCTTTAGATACGATATCAGAGAACCGACACGAGGCACAAACTTCCACCATGATCGTGATAAGATTTAACGGAACAGGGAATCGATTGGCCCCCGCCAGCCATATCAGGCGCGCAAACACTTCACTCCACCAATCGGCAAGGTATCGGTGATAAGGGATAGCCGATGACGAGGTCGTATCGAGCGGTGATGTGAGGCTCTGGTACGGCGGAGCGTCGCGCGTCGCTATCTGCTGACGATGGCTCCAGCACGACGACTAGCCGTTTTGTTTACTGTCGAGATACACCTTTATTACATTATAATTATCTCGGTTTCAGATAATTCCACTATTTTCTCGTAGCTGTTAGAGCAAAACGCATTGTCAAACGCATCGTCACGAACCGAACCTAATTTTCGACTTTCGTAATTTTGACTTAGGGTCGTTTATCGTTGACGGTTGTAACCGCGATAAGAAATCGAAATGCGTATGTAATTATTATTTTTGTACCGCTAAATTCAAATGGTGCAAACGTTGGATTTGAATTTGGATAAAACACTAACGTGCATTGGCAGCGGGAGCGAAAAACGAGACACACAAAAAATAATTTCTGACATCAATCAGTATTTATATAGTATTTTCACCGGTCTTCCCGAGTCGTAGATATTATTAAACCTAATTTTCGTAGTCACGGAAGACCTGATCAATCCGTAAAGTATACGAAGCCTCGGAAATGATATAATGATAGTAAAAAACGCGAGATTAAACCGTAACCCTCACTAAAATACAACAACTAATATTAACTTAGTAAATGCTTTATTTAAATGACTTTAATGAAATACTCGTAGTTATTAGATATTATATTACTACATAGTATAAAACAAAGTCGCTTTCTCTGTCCCTATATCCCTATGTATGCTTAAATCTTTAAAACTACGCAACCGATTTTGATGCGGTTTTTTTAATAGATAGAGTGATTGAAGAGGAAGGTTTATATGTATAATAACATCCATTAAATAGTGGAGAAATCAATAATAAATTACAGTTTCCGAAGCGAAGCGAGGGCGGGTCGCTAGTTTTAGATAAAATAGAAATTTTAACGGATCGTATCGAGTTATTCCGAGCATGACTAGGATACGTGATTCGTGGAAGAATTTCGACATGACAGATAAGGTGATGGCGCATATCAAATGGTGTCATTTGATAAGAGACAAGGTGTGTGCTTTCTGGAGCATTGTACAGGTGTTCAAGAACCGAGCCAATTATTTATTTGTAAAGCGAATCGACATAATGTATAATACGCTAGTCACATATGAGGCACCGTTCTTCTCATGAAGACAAACCAAAATGGTATTATAATTTAATTTAATTTTCATAGAAATGTTTCGAATTAGAGCTAAACAAAGCCAAAGTATAAAGATAAAGGAGCCTTTACTAACAACCTTAATTCTTAATTAGGTACATATTAAAAAAATTTTTTTTTAAAGTATACCCTATTTTAAATCTATTATTATCAGTCGAAGGCCGATCCGTCTTATGTTCCATGATAAAGTCATTGTGCTAGAATTAGGTACCTAATATATATTAAATGACTTAGTACTGTAATCAAAATATTTCTTGCGTGTGATATAAAAGTATGACTCAAATTAAATTGATGCAATTAACTAGAGACAAGATTTTAGTACAGTAAGTCCGTAGCCCGTGTCTCATAGTAATAACGTTTGGTATTCGGTCTCAAGCATGGCTCCCGTGTTTTAAGTACAAGTAAACTCAGAACCCAAATGCTTTAAACATCTTTATCTGACAATCTGACCATACTGTGAGCGGGAATCGAAGAAATTTAAAATAGTTACAATAATAAGTGGTTCTGTCATTAACCACTAAATTAACCTGGAAACTAATTATGACGTGAGTTTTAATAGGTTGGGGAAAAAGTTTCATCGCATTTTTTAAGAAAATTCACATCATTTTTTAATATAGTTTATTTACATTTAACTAATGTATGTTGGTACCATTTTGTTCGATAGCTTTTTGCCATCCTGTAGGTAGGGACATGATCCCATTGCTATAGAAATTTTGGGGCTTCTGATCAAAACACCGTGACAATTGGTTTTGCCAGTCCTCTCGTGATTTTAACCTGACACTGCCTAAAGAATTCTGAAGAGACCGAAACAGGTGGAAATCTGAAGGTGCAAGATCAGGACCATACGCCGGATGCATTAACACCTCCCAGCCAAGCTCTATTAATTTTTGCTGAGTGGCTAAAGATATGTGAGGCTTAGCGTTATCATGATGAAAAACCACACCCCTTCTGTTGATTAATTCCGGCCGCTTTCTCTCAACTTCTTGCTTTAATCTCATCAGTTATTCGCAGTAGATTTCAGAATCGATGGTCCTGCCTGGTGGAAACAGCTCATAATGAATAACGCCCTTCCAATCTCACCACACACACAGCATCACCTTGTTACGAGTTAACCTGGGTTTCGTCACTGTCTGTGAAGCCCGACCGGCCTTTGACCACGACCTTTTTTGCACGTTCTTGTCGTACGTAATCCACTTGTCATCACCAGTTATCAGTTCTTCAAATTGGTTAGGTTTCATTACGTCGTAATAAAGAATCACAAATGAGTACACGATTCATTAGGTTTCTTTCAGTGAGCTCGTGAGGTACCCAAATATCGAGCTTTTTTGTGTACCCAGTTTTTTTCAAATGCGCCAAAACTGTTTTGTGGTCAGTTCCCAGTTCTTCAGCTACGTCGTAACTACTGATTTGTCGATCTTGCTCCACTTTTTCAAAAATGACATCCATTTTATCCGTACTAGCGCGACCAGAGCGACGTGCATCTTTGACATCAAAATTTCCGGATTGAAAACGCTTAAACCAAATTTGTGCTACTGTCACAGACACTGCAGTAGGTCCATAAGCATCCAAATTATTTTTCGCGGTTTGCGTTGCATTTTTACCTTTTTTGTAGTAAAATTTTAAAATGTATCGAATTTCTTCATTAGAGTCACTCATGTTGACAGTACGAAAAATAAATAAAAATCAAACATTTTCCTAACTTGAATTTGGAATTCTCTTCTTTAAAATTTAAACTTAATGATACCAAAACCAGCCAGATACAAATAGTATAGCCAAAGAGATTTTATTACAAGTTCATACATACTATAATGCTAAAAGACTTTTTCCCCAACCTATTATTAAACGAGCTTCATGTCGTTAATACAAATCATTAACGAAGTAAATGATGTGAACAATAAATTACTTTTTTAAACCAATTTATAACCAGTATTTGATTTCTCAACTAAATCCACGTAGAAATATAATAGGCGTTATATTGGCTCTTATTGCTCTTTCAAACACTGGTAGCCTAGTGGTATCGAGGGTTCCCTCTACGAGGGAAGACGTCTGAGGTTCGATTCAGAGTATATATTGTTTTCCGTCTTCCACGGTTGCTCAAGTTTACTATGGACAAAATTTATATTGTTTACAGCATGGCCGTAAATTGATAAGCGCAGTATGAGACGGCCATCTACCAGATAAATGGGCCTAGTGAAAATCGCCTGGTCACGATGATTAGGGATGGCAACGGACCGGCCGCTCTGGAGGTCGATTGGAGTGGCCTATGCTTAGCAGTGGAGAGCTATAGGTTGAGATGATGATGATGATAACATGGCCGACGGACGCGTTTAATAAAGAACGGAAATTTCAGATTTTTTCTTCTGAAACAGAAGAGTTATTATCGCTTTGGTGTAGTGGTCAGTAATTCAGACTAATATACCTACCGTTGGTCCGAATTCATGACCGTTCTAACGTTGGGTTCTGATCTTTTTTCTGTTATCCGACATCCATAGCTCTATATGACTGATTTTTATTTGCTTGTTTTTATTGAAAATGTACATTAACTTGGAATAAGACTCTTTACAGAGCGCTACGATATACAATTAGTTGAAGGAATCTAAAAGTAAAGGCAAAAATTGACTATCATTAATTTGTAATCCCATAAAATCAATAAATCACAATCATAACGCATCAGGTCCGTCTCGGAGGATAGAAACGCTGGTTACGATTACATGCGAATCAACGAGAGCGAAACGAGTTAAGCCTCTAATAAAAGTTGGCAAACGTCGCGTCGTCGGCTCCAAGTTCGCGAGGGTGGGTCGTGGGCGCGTGGAGGCGTCGGCCGGGCTGCGACCGTGAATCGGAACTTCCAAAACTTCTGCCATATTGTGTTTACATTGAACTTTGTTATGTGGGTTAAAGTGAAGCCGGAGTTCAGCGTCGTGTGTGCCGTTTAACTCCGTTCGCGAACTTCACTTTCAAGTTTACACG